GTGGAAGCCAAAATTACTTTAGCTTCACTCCAGTATTGGCTTAAACTAAATTTTCATCCTCAGGGACTAACCCACTTGTTACTCTCAGACAACTTTCAATCCAAATGGCTGAGAGCAGTTCATAATAAATTATATGAGCTTGGTTTTTCCCCCTAAGCGATTTTGAGTATGCATTGGGATGTAGCAAAATCAGCCCTAAAACAGAGAATGATGGACATGGAGAGACAGACATATCTCGGTAGATGTCCTAAGTTTAGAGCCCCAGATTCTGTCAAATATCGCTTGCAACCCATGTCCTATTTATCACAGCTTGATACTCATAAGTTTAGGAAAACCTTCACTTTAGCCAGATGTGAGGCTTTCCCCTATGCGATGCTTGAGGGCAGATTCAAAAGGATCCCCACTGAGTATAGACTTTGTCGATGCGGCTCAGGAGAGACAGAAACTATTGAGCACATGATGCTCAGATGTAACTGGTATAATAAGATACGTAACAAATATATTACTCCTCTTATAACAGATATGGTGGGACAATCAGGTGCTGAGCAATGTAACCGATTGTTAATTGATGGGAACCGGACAATTACCGAAACTGTGGCAAAATTTTGGGTAGCATGCTACTGCATCTGAAATACACAATCAAATATATAATAATAGTTGCCTAATAGTCTCTGTTTTATGTCCTTCTTTTACTTTATTACGCTCAACTGTATTTTATAGAGTTTTATTTTACTGTCCTAAATTCAGTTATATGAATGTTATGAATGTTATATTTAAGCATGTGTGTTCTATGGCTTGTTGCCGTAATAAATGCCTGCCTGCCTGACTGACTGACTATTCAAATAGAGCAGGGGTGGCCAAACTGTGGCTCGGGAGCCACATGAGGCTCTTTCACACATCTTCTGCAGTTCCTGGAAGGGCAGCTGGGAAAGCGAAGGGGAGGCATTCCTCCCCAATCGGTCTTCCCTTCCCCAGCCAGTGTTCCCCTCCCTGGGTAGGCTTGAGGTGTGGGGGGGAGCAGAGAAAGAAAGCCACTTTAACTTTAAATGCATTCTCAAAGCCCCACCTCCACCAGCTTGGAGAAGGCATTTGTCTCTTTAAATTCCTTCTCCAAGCCAAGTCAGCTGGTGTGGAGGCGTGGGGGGGGGTTTTGGAGAAGGCATTTAAATTACAGTTGCTTTCTCTCCACCTCTCCCTCCCTCCCCCCATTTATTTGCTTTCTTTCCACCTCTCTTTCTCTCTCTCTTTCCCCCTTCCTTCCCCCCTCCCCCGTCCATTTGCTTTCTTTCCATCTCTTAGACAAATATCATTAGCAAACAAATATCATTGGACAAATAAATATCATTATTAATACCTGTTTTTACCCCTTTTCTTTTTGGCAGTCTCATTTAATGTTAATAAAAAGCAAATTTGCATATTTTCCAATAAAAATGTGTGTGCAATATTTGTTCGTCTCTTGCGGCTCTCAAACATCTGACATTTATTCCATGTGGCTCTTACGTTAAGCAAGTTTCGCCACGCCTGAAGTAGAGGCACTTGGTGCCAAACTGAACTCATTAAATTAAAAAACCTTAAGTGAACTGAAGACCTTGAATCAAAGTTAAAATATAAAGGTAATGGCATCCACGAAGATCAGACTGCATTCCCTATCGATATCAGTGTTCTAAGCTCAGATAACTATCAGTGTACTTGTTCAAGAACTTGCCGAATAACCACATATTAGTATATGCCAGAAGATTGGTATACTGCAAACCTAGTGAAGTTATTTTGGATTCTGTTTGAGATAATCAAAATAATATCTTGTGTAAAAATTTTACATGACTGATTGAAAACATTCTTAACCTTGCAAAAGAATGATGCATTATTGGTACTGATATTAGAGCAGGGCTGACATGTTCCCTGTACATCTCCTGGCATTAGTAAGAGTCAGTATAACCTCAATTATTTCATACCCAAAACTAATGAAAAAGGCCTATGACAAATTTTCCAGACTCAATGCAAGCCTCAGGTCAATCCTACCAATATATAGGAGAAAGTCATCTAGACAAAGAACAAGCTTTCACCTCTCTCAGAATTTTGGAGTGGACAGCTGCTAAATCACTCTGTTGGTTAGAGCCAGTTTGGTGTAGTGGTTAAGAGTGCCAACTCTAATCCGGGTTTGATTCCCCATGCCTCCACATGCAGCTGCTGGTGTGACCTTGGGTCAGTCATAAGTTTTTTCAGAGCTGTTCTCTCATGGACAGTTCTTTCTCAGCCCCACCTATTATATTATATTTGGAATAAAGTACACTTATAATCTTTATAATTATAAGAGTTTATTTTTTACATATTTTTGTTAACATTAACTATTCATAGCTGTTTCCCCTGTTTACATAGCTTTAGAAACTCTATGGTGGCATGCAAATTCACTGTTTCAGAATCTCTAACCTGTAAAAGAATAAAATCTGCAAGGGTTAAAAAATATTCTAGAGTCTAGTTGTGCTCACAGGTGTCTGTGATCTTAGAGCTCTTGTTACCAAGAGCATGTCCTTCAAGAACACACAGAGGAATGTAGTAATTGGGTACATCATGGGAACCTGTGCTTAATTGTATTACATCATGGGAGGGGGGGGATGAGGACCAGAAGGTAGGATCTTCTGGAAGGTTCCTAAGGAGAAGATCTTTGATGGGATGAGAGAGACCCTCTGACTCTAGAGGGCAAAGAGCTTTTTTCTCGGGGAATGTGCTGGAATGGAGTTCTGGAACATCTTTGACAAAATTCTTTTTTAAATATTTACAAATCCACAATCATTCTAGAATGAGTATTCCTTAGCTGCCATGAGGCCACTAAAATGTATCCTTAGGTACTCTTGATTTCTAAGATTAGTGCAACAGTAGATAACCACAAGTGGGTATTTCCTGCATATATTAGATCCAAATAATTAAACCTCCACATAATCAAAAGGGCATTTTGAAATATTTCTGGAAGGCAGTACGTATCAATAACTAGTATTGTGGTGTACTCAATCTCATCTGGGGTGGCCTACTGTTCAATATCAACTGAAATTCCTGAGAAGTCAGGGCAGCACCCTACCTAATTTACAGTAAAATAAATTTAAGCCCAAATACACTTTGTAACCATCTTCAAGATGGAAGTAAGAATGTCTAAAAACTTTGATAACTTAGAATTCCATTGGTAAAAATGGGTGTAGGAGCATCACAACCGTACAACTTGAGGGACCAACAGTGCCATCCTAAGCAAAACTACACTCTGAGTCCATTGAAGTCAATGATCTCAGAAGCACACAACTCTGCTTAGAATGGCAATGTAAGAAGCATTAAAACAAACTAATATTTATTTAAACAGGGTACAACTGGGTCTTGCATGCAAAATCCTAAGGGCAAATCCACACAACTAATCTGTTCTTATCCAGTTTGAAAAACAAAACAAAGCTCCCCTGACTTGGCACGTGGCTTATCACAGTAATCTGCCACAAGCACACCTGCAGTTTGGTGCAAAGCAAATAGGACAGCTAAGCAGAGAATCAGTGCATTCTTGCCAAGTAGGCTTCATTTTGTGTATATGAAAACTGTCACCTCCTCTTCCTTCAATAATACTGCATCAAAAAAAACAGATTTTATTTTATTTATTAGATCTTTCTTTCTCTCTCTCTCTCTGAAGAGCTCATGGTAGCATTCATGGTTAGGCTGACAGAAAGTGACTGTTGCAAAGTCAACCATTGAGCTTAATGACAGAGTAGAAATGTATTATTGTATAAAGTTTATGTATATAGATATCATACTGACTTGGTTCACAATTAACAACCAACCCATAGTTTGGACACTGAAGCCATGCTTTGGCTTGGGCACTTTATCCTGGTATTTTTGGCCACTGTGTGACAGAGTGTTGGACTGGATGGGCTGTTGGCCTGATCCAACATTGGCTTCTCTTATGTTCTTATGTTCTTATCCTTCTCCTCTCTATCCTTGCACACTTCAATTTCCTCCATGACTTCCAGGTTGAGCACAAAATGCACAGTGCCCCATTACATCCAAACTCCACAAATTATAGTTTGTGCAAATCTGCACTATCCTCTAAGTCAAAACTGAAAACCTAGTTAAGATTGGGTTTCACAAATTATTACTATTCCATAGTTGTAACATTAAGCAATTTGTTCCTGTTTTTTGACAATATGGATGGTGCTGCCATCCAACACACACAGTTACAAAGAAAGGTAAGGGACAATGACAGACCTTCTGTGTTACCTATTTGTCTTTCCAGATCTGCTGCTTCATCTGGCGTTGCACGGGGCAGGACTCCAGGATCACTGAAGCTAGTACGTAGCAAGGTCCCCATCACAAAAAAGAATAGAACTGCGCCTACTGCAGGTATAGCAGGTGTAATCTGATCTGATAAATATGGACAACTGCAAAATAGGGAATAAAAAATAAATGTAATACTGTCTGTGATATAGTACCATAAAAGTCAGTTGCTTTACTTAAATTGCTGGGAGGAGGGGAGTTACTGCATTGCTCAAATGTGAATCCCACAATTCCTCATGATAATGATGAAAGCTTCTATATCTTTAAAGTGAATAAAAGATTGTTTTAAAATTTATTCCAACTAATAATGTATTAGAGGACTGATATCCTCTCCTGAAACACATAAACAGCACAACTCCAGCTTTATTTCATAAATATCTGATATTATATAATCTGATATTCATGTAGCATAATTCCTTGTAACCAAGGAGAAAACAGCTTACCCTTCCCACACTTTTATCTTGTTAGCAGTCAGACCCCTCCCACAGATGGGTAGTTGGCAGCCAGAGAGAAAAGAAGCCCAAACACCCTTCATATAATATCTCTCCAAATATCATATCACACAACACATTGCCTGGCCCAGAAATGACCCCAAAGGGGATGCCAGTCAGAACACCAGCCTGGGTAACTATTTGGAAGTTACTTAAGGGTCTGACTTGTAAACAACCCTTTCCCATCTTAAAGTAATGCATAATTTATAACAATGGGTTTCTCACCTTGAATTAACCTCTTTCATCCCTGATCATGCTTCCCCCTTTCTCCACATTTATCCTTGTTAGCATATCAATAACACCTGGAAATTTCCCCTATCCTGTATTTCAGGGGTCATCAATGAGCAGGCCTGTAGCCACTGCGGGAGACCCTGGGGGCAATGCCCCTCCCAAATTTGCCCAGCCACCTCCTGTGCCCCTCCCCTCCCAGTCCCTTCCTGGGGTGACTGGCAACAACAGAACAGAAGCTGGTTGGCCAGGAAGAGAAGGAATTGCCCCTGCAGCCACCAGACCACAAGGCTGCACACTTTGCTGAGTGGAGTGGCCTGCCCTGGCACCTCACTGTGCCTGTGCCAACCCAGCCACCCTGAGCCACATGATATTGGATCACATGACTCTTCCTGGGGTGGTCTGCTGCTCCCTCCCTCTTTCCTTCCCCAACCCAATGCCTCTGGCCTGCACACGCACTTCTCCAGCCTGGTTGTGGGGGGGGAGAGGCCTCCCCACATTCCTCCGCATAGTCTGCTGGTGGGGAGGGGGTGTGCTCGGGGGCTGCAGGAGTGCAGGAGTCCCAGCACTTGCTTTCAGCTCTGGAACAGGAAAAGTGTGTGATTGCTGCAACAATGTCCAACCAAAGGCTGTTGAAGAACTTCTGAAGAAGCTGCAGATAGAAGGTCATTGTCTGCCTTCGCACTCACCCTCTTAATTAGATCATCACTAATTATATTAGCTGCTAATCTAATTAGTGGTGACTTAATTGAGCTCCCCACTTCCAGTATTTGCATCCCCGCTCCCTGTATTTGCACCTCCACAGAAAAGTTTCTGGCTAATGAGCTGTCAGTGAGCCATAAAACTCTGCTCACTCCTTTGATCTCCCACTGGGAGAAACATTTGGCTTTGCCCAAGTCTTTTAGAAAATTCCAGTAAACACATCAAGCTATTGCTCTTAGGGCAAACCAGTCATAGCGCCTCAGGGAACTTTTCCTCTACAAGCACTCATCCTCAGGGTTTGTGTGTGCGCTTTCATCCTCAACCTCATGCCCACCCTTGCTGGTCGTTTCTCTCCTCCGCGGACCTGAATCTTCAAGACTGGTAAATATCACCCTTGAAACGCCCTTGCTTTTCCGCACTCATCCCTGTTTTTCTCTTAGCTATTCTGCATATTCTAAGTGTGCTTTGTATGTGTCTTGCTCTTTTATTATTTTTCAATAAAACAAGTTGAACACCTGACTAGTTTATTCTGAGAGTTCTCTAAGGGAACAATCCTGGTATACACAGGTGGAGATTCCCAGTTACCCCCTCTTGCTGTGTCTCTAATAAAGCTAATTTTCCCAATTAAATAAGAGACAGCCTATTTGGGTAACATTCCTGGGAAGGTCAGAGAGATGCTGGCTGTATTCAGACATGAAGAACTTAAATCTGGATTTGGATTCCTGGCTGGTAGACAAGAAAACACTATAGCTTGTGCTATGAACACAATGGACAAGAAGTCTTCAGTTCCCAAGCTGTTCTGAAGAAGATGGATGGGGAGGGCATGCATGAGTCTGAGGACTTCCAAGGCTTGCTCTTGCAATGACATTATAAGATCACTGTCATTATGTCTGAATTGTTCAAATAAACATAGGTAGGAGTGAAGATTGAATGAAAACAAGAAAAGGGTTTTTTTTTTTGCTTCCTTCCAGTTTTGCATCATTTTGCTTAAAAGGAGATACTAAAGTAGAATGTATTTATATATTAAAATGATGGACTATTACATGCAACAATCTATAAGATGATATAGTCAAAATTTTATTCATGACATATACTTCTTTACATGTTCTACTTCTACATGAGTATGATTTAAATATCCTATATCCTAATTTTATTTTTCAGTCTTTTTTCCACAGGATACAAATCAAAAAGCGTGCACTTGAACAGTATGCATGGTCTACAAAGGTGGTCTTGGTCAAATATAAAAGCACTTCTCCATGAAACGTATTTTATTGTTACCAGATTTAAAATATAATAATTGAGATCAAAGAAAAGAACATTCTTAGTGTTTTATATTCCATGACACGCCTGCACAGAAAGAAGATATGGATTCTGAATGGTATTTCTGCTGTATAAATTTAGACAGTATTATTTACAATTGGATTTTATATTATCCTAGTTCTTAAATTATCAAAATTGTACGAACTTTTCTGGCTTACTTTTTGAATGTCAGGATTCATTAGCATAACTGCAAATCTTTGTAAAGGTTGAAAGGGTGTGCAATGAAGACACCATATTCAATCATTCATTATAACATATATATTATTAGTAGTAATCACTTCTGAATCAATTCACTATGGAACTAGATGTGCAGAGATCTCATTTCACAAACTTTGTTCTAAAATAATATTTTTATTTATTAAAAATATTTTACCTCGGCTTTCCTTAGCACAAGGTAGCTCTAAATAACACATACTTAAACTTCCACATTAAAACAGCAAACTCATAAGAAGGTAGCTTTTAAAAGGAAGCACTGAAGAACAGTACAGCAAATCTAAACAGACAAATGTCCTAAAGTATAAGCATGATTTGCATTTTTTCTCTCAAAGAACAAGAAGAAGCAATTAGGAGTGTATTCTAAAGCCTTAGGGCAACTGCAGTGAAGGTCCTGTACCTTATACCCAACATTCTTACTTTCCATAGCAAAGGAATATAGAAAAACCTCTGATCCACTGTCAACAACTCATATTGAGAGATACTGGCTCTACAATGTATGGATCCCAGGCCATGATGGGTTATAAAATAAGCAAACCCCCCCTAAAATTGAGGGGGGGGGGGCAATTGGCAGCCAAGATAGATGCTCTGCTGAGTATGTGATCCCACATTAACATGATTAAGAGAATGAGAACATCTCTATCACTGAACCAAATGACTCCTTCCTTTCCATTTTCAGAGTTAAACATGTGCCACTCTGTGCCTTCATTTGGTTAAAATTACCATGATTTTAAGTACAGTTTGCAAACAAAGTTCAAACCCTGGTTTCCAATTATGGTTCATAATTAACATGTTTAGCTTTAAATTGATGTAATGCTACATCTGGGCTGTGCCACCAGAGGCCTACTAGGCCCAGGGAGCCTGGCTAGCAGTAGGAGAGGCTGGGCCTACAAATCCCAGAAGGCCTTGGGAAGTTTTGGCGCCAATTTTAACCAATAGGGAAGAAGAGGGCTGGGGAATAAGAGAACTGGTACAACAGGGAAAGCTGTTCTTCTTCCCAGAGGGCAGAGCCAGAAGGAAGGCTGCTGTGGGAAGAAACCCTCATCCTGAGGGAAGGGTGAGTAGTCTAAGGCCACTTGAAATAGTGAGCTAGGGACAGTATATATTTAGACGCGTTAGGGCATTTTATTTCTTTTCACCCACTTAATGTTATTATTCTGCACCTTGTTTGTTTGACCTCCTATAAAATAAATTATTTTCAGTGTTCACTCTGCCTGGTCCTCACACCTATTATTCAGCCAAAAGGGAGGTCTAAAGGCCTGGGAGGGTGCTCTGGGCCTTCTCAGAGGAGCCTGGAACCAGAATGGTGGCAGAGTCAGGTGACACCCCACCTGAGCCATGGCAATGGCTAACAGTGAAAAGGAGATATGAATTTGCATGGGATGGAGTGGCAGGACATGAACTCATAGAACATGTTCCCAATCTCTTCTCTTAAACATGATTAAGACATTGGGAAACCATCAACACCAGTCCTAAAAGCAAAAGTGACTGTAGGACTATACATTACCAATCTATTTTTCCTATTAGAAAAAAGAAAACTTTAAAAACATATGGTGTTACTTTCTTTAATAAAGGTTCTCATTAACATCATTTGGTAATGTTTTTGATAGAAGTCTGTCCTATTTCCTCAACAGATTTCAACTATAATTAACTATTTTAACTACGAGGTAAAATATGAACGGACCTGGATGTTTTTGATAGAAGTCTGTCCTATTTCCTCAATAGATTACCACTACAATTAACTATTTTAACTATGAGGTAAAATATGACCTGGATTCAAATCATTTCATGCAAGATCATTTGCTCAAATTGGAGAGTTATAGAGCTAAACAGTACGATTTTGGGAGAAACAAGGTCTTAATTTGAATCTGGAAGCCTGCAAAAATTAAACATGCTAATAAGATAAACCAACAATTGTGCTTTTACAGGCTCTTCTGTAGTTTTCTACTGTCTTTTTAAAAGTTGAATTTGGAGGTTTATAAGAGAATAGGATGGAAATGACAGTTACCAGAGGATTAATCTAATATGACCGGGTTGTACTGCTGCTGAAGAGAGATAATGCTCAAGCCTTCTGACTTAAACATGCCCAAGAAATCAGTTCTTGGTATGACCCTGTAACTCTGAAATTATGTGAAGTGAATCAGGCTCAG